ATGTGAATTACTATTCTTATGCACATGCCACACAATACAGGGCAGAAATCTCACTATGGTAAACTAGGTCTGCCAATAGTTTATTAAATTTCACCGACATATCCATTCAATAGTATTAACTGGCCACGATTACATATTATCAAAAAATCAAAAAATAAAACGTAACCTACCTATAACTGAAAAATAAAGGGTGAAACTAGAATGGGTTGAATTCTACTTTTATTGCATTTAAATAATTGCAAATCACACAGATACCTGTAATATAAAATTATACAAAATAATATTAAACTAATATGAAGATCTAAAATCATGTAACATATTATTAAACAATTGTGCAGATTTAAGCATTTTCTAAACAACTAACAAATGAATCATGTTAACCTCACCTCGGACAAGATCAATATTTGCATAACTTATGAATGCACTAACTGGCCTATTACCACAATTCACCCATGCCTGAAAAGCCTCCTCAGCAACATCTCCATTAAATAGACACCTCAACATGAAGTTACTGTTAGAGAGACATGAATATTTCTCATAAGTCAATAGTTAAGTAGGTATTGGCAAATACAATTTCAAAGCTTTCTTTAGTAAACTTACTCCAAATCTTTTATCAACAGTCTGAACCATTTTATCTACCCATCGTTCCCCTTTATTTCCCGATTCTAGATCCACTATTAGTCCATACACATCTGCACATCATTAACTTCATGAGACTATAGAATTCAATATGACTAATTTTAAATAAAGTTTTAAGGATTCATTACTAAATTAATAGAATGAAATCATTTACAATAGTGGTCTAGATCTTACTTATCAATCAATCTACACTGACGGAACCTTTAACTATGTCAACGATCCTTGTAAGGTCTAACACATGTTCTGGGAAATGTTCACCAGTACACTCTTTTAACCATGTAGTCTCATTGAATGTTAGCATCAATAAATTTTTAACTAATTTCCTATAATACAAGCTTTCCTTTACAACGAAACCTTCTATAGCATAGACCTTACCCTCCCCTAACACATTCCTGAAAATTGGTGAAACCAAGTGTCTTGGCCATCAACCATGTATAAGAGTTTGCTTCGTGTAGTTTTGAACAAATATTGGACCAATAAAATGTGTTAGCAATCATCTTTCATAATATAAAGAAAACAATTTTGTAACTAGACTAACCTCTTCGTCCACTAAAATTAAAGAAAGCTATTATTTGCCTTGGTCATCTTCCAGCTCCTTTTCAGTATAGATTCGAAGTACTTGTGCCCTAGTGTGACCTCGTTTATCACCATTGCTTAATAACCTCAAACCAATTAGATCTTTTATGAAATCCGGGGCACTCTATCCATCGAAACAAAAACAATAAGCAACAGAAGGAAAAATTACTTTCGGATATTTTTCTATGATTAACTATTAAATCTATAACGAGATTCACTCAACTTACCATCATGCAAAAAGTTTGCTTCCACGGGAGTTTAAGAAAGTCTAGCTATGATCCCTGTGAATATTTATCCCCGATACCTCTAAACACGTTAAACTTTCTAATGGATGATGATAACTTGGCAAAGACTTTAAAAAGGACTCTCTTAGTTTTCATTATAGTGACTCATAGCCATAATGTAAAGCTGTTCTCATTGCTTTCAAGAAACACTTCATTCGATGTAATAGGTTTTTTTTTTAATACAAGGACATGAAAAAACCATGTAAAAGAAGGAAAAATCAGGTTATGTTAGATTCCATAAGGGTTTTGCATCCTGGAGGTGAGTTTTTGTAAATAGTAAGGCTAAGATTATCTCGAGATGCAAGGTGAGTGAGCATGTCCGCACATCTATTTGCTTCCCTAAACATGTGGTCAAATGTAATGATCCAATCTTTCATGACAAGAGTTCTAACTTTGTTGATAATTCTAGAGAGAAGGTGATTATTAGGAAAATTATGTTGGATAAGCGAAAGTGCTTCCACTGAATCAGAGTAGACGTTGATTTTGTTAAAATGGGCATTCCAATAAAGTTGAAGTCCTTCTAAAATGCCTAATAGTTCTACTGTTGTGCTAGGATGATAACCGAGGTATTTGGAAAAACCCTTGATCTAATTCCCTTTATCGTCTCATATGATACCACCATAAGTAGCAGCTCTGATGGAGTTGACAGCCCCATCAATGTCAAGATGGATCCAGCCTATATCTGGGGGTGTCCAACATGCCTTTAGCCTTTTGCAATCGTGACTTAGAAGGTTAACTTTGGATTGAAGCCTCATATCGTTGGTGATTTGTTAGGTACTGGAGAAAGCAATGTCGACATTCTGAGAGATTTCTCCAGAATAGATATTCTTACAACGCGTCTTCTAGATGTTCCAGCAAACCTGAGGAAAAAGTCTCTACCAAGGGATCCTTCTTGTATTTAGATTTCTTGCCTTAACTTTTGCATTCCAAATTATCCAATCCTACACAGAAAGGGAAAAGAAAGTATTAAGTTTTGAGGGTTTCACTAGTTTAGTTCATACATTACGAGCTTCTATACAGTCTCGTAGAATATGGATAGAGGAATTGAGAGAATTGCATCTAAAAAAGCAAGATCTTTAAAGAGGAGTATTCCTTTTGGTGTAGGTAGAATTAAGCTGTAGTCTGTCTCAAGCAGCCTTCTAAAGAAAGCACTTGATTTTTTTATAAGTAGGTCATTTCCAAATCTTAGCCCACATGTCGGTGTTGTTACAATCCTTTTAAGAGGACATAACTTTGTAGGCCGATTTGACAGAGAAGTTGCCATCAGAGGATGGTCTCCAAATAATGAAATCATCCTCCCCCTCAGGATTAGGTGGTCTCACCAGCACAATAAGTCTTATCACCTCAGTAAAGAGGTGATGATTCAAAAGACTAAAATTCCATCTCCCAGCAAAATTACTAAGATCAGAAACACAAGCATGAAGAATAGGCTCCGCACTAGGGTAAGCATAAAAAATAAGAGGTTCTAGAAAAGGGGACCACTTACTGTACCAGAAGGAGGTATGGTCTTGCTTATTAATTTTCCAGCCAACATGTGCCATGAGTTTATTCCAAACTTTGCAAATACTATTCTAAGTGAAAGAGGAGAAGCTAGGTTTATAGACCATGGAAATAGTAGGGCTTATACATTTATATTTGTCACGAAGAATCTCGCAAAGCCGATTTGGTTGAGTGATGAGACCCCAGCAAAGTTTCATAATGAAGGCAATGTTATGCTCCTAAGATTTTTGATACCAAGTCCCCCATTAGATTTATCCATAGTAATATGATCCCAAGAAATAAGGTGAGGTTTTTTATGGCCATCAGAGGAGTCCCAGAGGAAGTTTCTAGATTTTTTTCCCAATTCTATAAGAATATTGTTAGGTAACAACAAGGTCTGCATGGCATAGCTAGGAATTACTGAAAGAACAAAATTAATAAGAACAGTTTTCCCAGCGAAGTTAAGAAATTGGCTTTTCTAATTGGTAATGCAAGCTTTATCAAGTAAAGGAGTAAAGGTAAACTTAGAAGCCCTTTCATGGATTAAAGGAATTCCTAGATATTTGCCAAGATTACCCGTGAGGGAAATTCCTAATTCAGAGTTGATCTGAGAAGCCATATTAAAGTTGACGTTCCTAGAACAAAAGAGCTTAGATTTTCGATTGTTAACTTTTTGTCCAGAAGCATTGCAGAAATTTGAGAGGCATTGTTGAATAATCATAGCTTGGTTAATAGATGCCTCTGCAAAAAGTAACAAGTCATTGCAAAAAATAAATGAGAAATAAGAGGCCTATTAGTTATTAGTCTAATTGGCTTCCACTCATTTTTATCAATGGAACTAATAATATAATGACTAAGAAGTTCAATGCACAAAATAAATAAATAAGGAGATAAAGGGTCTCTCTGTCTTATGCCACGAGAGGGAACAAATTCCTTAGTAGGTTCACCATTCCAAAGGACTTTCATACGAGAAGTAGAGATGGTAGCTCTAATCAATTTTCTGAGGTGAGTATTCAAACTAATAGAATGAAGAGTGTCGTCAATAAAATCCCAAGAGAGTCTATCGAAAGCTTTCTCAAGATCTACTTTAAGAGCCATAAAACCTTTCTTTTTGTTCCTAATCCTCATAGAGTAAATGATTTCCTGAGCGATAATGATATTATCACTACTTTACTAACCTTGAATAAAGCTACATTGAGAATCTCCAATAAGATTGTTCATATATTGATGAAGACGATTAGAGAGAATTTTAGTTATGATTTTGTAGCTGACATTACAGAGAAATATAGGCCAAAAGTCCTTCATATAAGTAAGGTTATCAACTTTAGGAATGAGAGTAATGAAGGTATCATTTATCTCACTAATGGTGTCCGGATTGATGAAGACCTTTTTAATGAGTTCGACAATGCTGGTTTTGAGATCATTTCAATAGTTGTGGATAAAACCAGCATTGATACCATTCGGCCCAGGGGCTTTAAAGTCTCCAATATCAAAAGCAGCGATCTTGATTTCCTCCTCGATGACCTCTCTATGGATAGAATGGAGTTGTAAGGCAGAGAGAGGTGGAAATCCCTTATCAGTGATGAGCTTGTCTTTTACAGGAGCATCTTTCTTGAAAAGATTTTCAAAATAAGAGATAGCCATGCTTTTCAAAATATTAGGGTCCTGGATCCAAGTATCATTGTCAGATTTGAGAGCTAATATTTGGTTTCTTTTCCTTTTAATGATAGAGGTGGCATGAAAAAATTTTGTATTTCAATCGCCTCAATTCAACCATTTGCATCTGGATTTCTGAAACTAAATTAGTTGCTCTTGCAAGATGACCTTGTTTAATTCTTCCCATAAAGAATTTTCAAGCTTTTTAAGAAAGTAATTATCATTGTGATTCCTTCGACAGTTTATTCCTTTAAGTCTGTGAAGGATTCTTTTCTTTTTTAGAGGAATGCTGCTGATGTTGTTTTTGTTCCATAATGTTGCAGAATCAGCAACTTTAATTCTTCCTTCATTCCAATCATTATTTTTCTAGGATTTCTTGATAATCGAATGGAAGGACTCTTCTAGCATCCAAGCAGCATGACACTGAAAAGGTCCTTTGTGATGGTAAGGATTGAATCCTTTCTGAAGTTGGATTCTAATAGGCTGATGATCAGAGTCATATTTGAGTAGATGATAAGAATTCGCTTGGTTGAATTTAATATGCCATTCAATATTACAGAAAGCCCAGTCAAGTCTTTCTTTCACATTTCCTTTACCCCAAGTGAATTTATCACCAGTAAAGTTTAGCTCAAGTAGATTGGAAGAATTGATATAGTCTCTAAATTGTTTCATAGCTCTCTGATTATGACCACTGCCTGGACATTTATCTTTATAGGAAAGATAGGCATTGAAATCACCTACAATAAGCCAAGAATCAGAGATATCTTGAGCCAGTAATGTAATGGAGTCCCAAAGAGCAACACGTTCGTAAGGGTTAGGATCTCCATAAACACAAGATAAAAGGTAAGAGGTATTATTGGATAAAACATTAACTTTACAATGAAGAATTTGGACATTAGAATAAATATAATCAATTTCAATAGTGTTATTATTCCAAAGGATCCAAGTACCTCTAGCATATCCGGTAGCTTCAACACGGATCCAATCAGAGAAGCCTAGTTTTTTAACAATCATGTCTGCTCTAGAACCACTAGCTCTAGTTTCAATTAGAATAAGAATTTGAGTGTTATGAGCATAAGTAATTTCTTTGATGCGACCAGGAAAGCTTTTACTGCAAGTGCCTCTACAATTCCAACATATAATATCCATAAAATAAAAATAAGGAATAAAAATAATAGGAGGGAATAAACCTGGAGGGAGGATTAGGCTTCATCCTCATTATCACTGAATTCATCATCCTCCAAGTTGTTATTGATGCATGCATTGTCAAAATCCTCATCTAAGAGGTCATCATCAATAATATCATCATCATTGCCGTTCATATCTCTATCGCATAAGAATTGATTTTGAGAAGCCTCGGTCGGATCAGTGTTCATTTGAGTTTTAGGAACAAAAATGATGGAATTACTAGGATCAAGAGGCTCGGTAATATCATAATTCTCAGCTGAATTAGGAGGAGAAATCAAATTAACATTAGAAATTTTTTTTCCTAATCCCTGCGTCCAGATTCACGGATCAGGAGAGAAAGAAATATCCTTCATAGCTTTAAGCACAGTATTGTTGGCTTGGTCTGCTGCGATGGGCTTCTTAAAATAGCCTAAGTCTCTTTTATTTCCCTTAATAACCGTGTAAATGCGTTTTGTGGGCCTGGAATTCGTTTGCTTCGGCTGCAGCCCACTTAGAGGAATTTTGTTCAGCTTGAAACTCTTTGGGCCGTCCCAATTAAAGCTCAGCCTATTATGTGACGCTTTCTTCCCTTTCACCGAACCAGACTGAAACTCTTTATCATGGCTAATTTCACTGCTGCTGATTATTTCAGCCACCGTATCCTTCGCATCAGCACGATTTCTCTTGTTTCCTGCCAAGTCTTTCCTTACCCATACATTTCTAACAGTCTTAGCTAGGTTTTTCATAGATGGATCGTTGAAAGAAGCTAGAAAGCTCACCTTGCCATCGTCTCTGTACTCTAGGTTGGCTAGCACATCAAATTAAGATTTGTTAATGAAGCTAGATCCTCGATTTGGGTGATTTTGCTGATTACCCATTGGATTCTTTGGTTTTCATGCTTGGGCTGGTCTTCGAAACTTCATCCACTCCCCACAAGTTTCGTCTGGCGAGTAAGCTTTCGACGAACCTTCATGAGCTTCATCTTGCTGGTTTTTCTGGTATGGTGGCTGTCTGGTTGTGTTTCCTCATAGATGATCTTGTGGTTTGTTACTTGCTTCGGCCTTGTTCTTCTCCTTTTCTATATCTATAGTCTTAGGATTATACGGACAAGAGCTTTTGTTGTGTTTGTAGCAACCATACCTGAAACGTATAAGGTTTAAACTTTCATATTCTGCATTGTAAAGTTCGTCTCTGATAAGGATCCTTGGTACCAGTTTCTTTTGAAGCTCGATTTCCACACTAATTCAAACAAATTTTCCCTTCTCTATTTTACTTGTCTTGTTTTGGGTATTAGCTTCAGAGAGAGTGTTGACATCAACCTTCAGGATTTTACCTATACAATTTCCTATCCTCCATAGGATTTCTTTATCATAGCATTGAATAGGAATATTGTTTAATCTCACCCAAAGTGCTACCTTACCAAGAAGATTAGTGTTCGGGTCAAAACTCGGTGCCCAGCACTAGACCATGATACAATGGTCAAAAATTGTCCATGGACCTCTATTAAGGATGTTCTGGTATGCTTCCTGATTTGTGGTTCTGATGATATAATAACCATTAACCAGATCAATGAGTTCAAAGTCTCTGATCTGCCACATTTTCACCAATCTTGGCTTAAGAGATTTAGGATTGAGCTGAATACCCAGAGTTTTAATAACTATAGCATCTACCCATGGTGAGCAGATTTTCTTCCATTCTTCATATGAGATCTGGACACTAGGATATTGATCTATCAGTTTCTTGGTATAATCAGAAGGAGACCAATTTTGCTCCAATTCCTTAACTAGAGTCTCATTAATATGTTTAGTGTTAATTCCCTCACTAATCCCATAACAACCATCGAAGCCTACAAGGGAGTCTTCGTAAGAAATAGGAGCTTTAAATGCTTTGATTCCCTGTAGTAAATTTTCCTTGCCTGGATTTTCTTCACTGTCTCGAGCACTTTCAGCATGAATATCCATGGGATGTGGTCCATGTTGTTTGCTTTTTGATCCTTTGTCTATCAGTTCTTCATCTACTTTGGAAGCATTTCTGTTTAGTAAGTCAATCTCTTCTTTGGAAGCAGGAGGATCCATGATAGCATCTTGAGATTTTGAAGCTGAGAAAACGAAATCAGACTTGGAGTTCATTGCAGAAAATGATTATTTGACGATGAAGATTGAAGACGTTTCCAATCTCACAATTTAAGAAGCATATTTTGACACATAGGATGAGATTGAGAAGGGGAAGAAGACGGGATTCTTTTGCAAACTGATGCAATGGGTTTTGTTTCATGTAGGCTGTAGTTATACGGGGGAACGGATTGCATGTTTCTCTTTTTTTAAAAAAATATCTTATTTAACTAATAAAACATTGGTTGAGTTATTTAATATCTCTAAACAATAATTATTTATTGAAATGTTATAAAACTGTATAAAAAAGGAAATGTTATTTCTTCATTTAATGTCCCAAACAATATAACTTTCTCCCCGTGATAAAAAAATATAAAAATAATGCTTGATAAATATAGGAACTTATGCTTTAAAAAAAAAAGAGTAATTCAAAACAAAAATTTTTTTAAATCCAAACCTTTCATTTATTTCCTTTGGTGAAGGATTTCATAATATATTTTGTTAAACTAAATTATTTTAATACATTGTCAGTAATAATGACTAACGATATATATACATATATACAAATATACCAAAGAACTATAATAAAATATACATTTTTACCCAAAAAAAAAAATCACATGCACGGCCATAAATATTCTTTGTTCATCTCATTTTAAGACTGACGTTAGTTTTTTTAAAATTAATATGTCTGCATTTGTTTTTTCATCCTACGTGACTGTAACAAAAACCCAACCTAACATCACTATTACAACTGGAGTAGGTTTATGTGAAAAGTGGTTCAGGAATTATTGCTTACTAAAAAGAAAGAACCCTTATCAATTAATTATTAAAAGAATTTGTTCATGTGTGGTGGTCATAATTTGCACTGAATGCCAAAGTTGTTATATTATACCGTTTAAACGTATATTTAATGTTAATTTTTGGTTTCATTGGTTAAGTAATGAGTCAATCACTAATGGGCCCAAGTCTTACTGAGAGAGACTTACAAGTTTTTCCACTGCACGGCATAATCAGGAAGTGCAAGTCAAACAGATTTCCCTTACCTGAGAACTGATTGAGTAACACCAGAATCGGCTATCCCTGGCTAAGATAAGTTATTATACAAACATAATCTTCAGCACCGTCTAAGGTTCGCCACAGGTCGTGCCAGTCAATACTCTTTTTTTTTTTTTTTTTTACCTTCACATATTCCTTTCCTTGAGTTCGATTATGTAAACCTGTACTTGTTAGTTGCTTCTTTATTTGATCTCAATTGTTATCTTCCTCGACTCTTATCAGCATTATCGCAGATAACTAATGAACACCGAGTAGTGGCCTCGTTGTCTAATCGTTTCTTTTTTGTTTCTATATCTCAGTGTTGAAGCAAACCACTAGCTTGCGTATCCGAAATTCTGGACTCCGAATCTATCAGGTGATGAATGAAAATGCTGATGTTTTTACCTTCGGAATGGGTTGCTCCATAAATTAACTGGACAGAGTGTTTTTGTGGGAAGAAAGTGGTTATTTATTAGCATAACAGATATTGATTATTTCTTCAATTACCATCCTTTTTTTAATCAGGTATTTGTTTTAGTAATATAGCATATTTGCCACTGATTTGTGCTTATAGAACTTCCCTGGTGTAATGGATGGTAGTACGAAATCCTTTTTGTTGGACTTTGGTTATGAGAAGAAAAAGGATAAGGCTTCACAGTGATTTGTTCTGGTTTTAATATATATGCATTGAAATTTTTAATTTTGAAATAGTTTTGAGTAAGCTCCAAGTATGTTTATTATGTTCATCTTTGTGTTCTACTTTTCTGTCATGGAGCATAGCTGGATTTCGTTTCATTTATAAATAAAATTTTGAGGGAGAAACCAACAAAGAGAACAGAAAAAATAGGGAATAATAGGATTGTAGAAAAGAGAAAGAAATAGATTAAAGGGTTTAAGTTAGAAGAAAAAGATAAATAGTTGGAAGATTGAATAGTTGTAGGAATTCATTGGAATTGATCACGAGAGGGTATAGCTCTTAACATATAGTCTATTCTATACCTATTCTTTTATTAAGTGATGAGTATTTCAGTAACTAATATTAAGTCAAAATAAATAACTTTCAAGATGATAATTAAAACATTAGATTTAGAACTTCATATTTTTTCCTGAAATTTGTTCCACTATTTATCTGGGACTGTAAAGTGAGAGTTTGTTGTTAGAAGAAAAATATTGTACTATTGATGAAATTATGAATTCATCTACATTGCGGTTTTATATCATGTAAATAGTGTTATGATTATGATTAGTGTATCTGAATGTAATAATGTTAGGATGTTGGTGTCTTGATTTGTTTGGGGTTCTTTTTCTTTTTTAAATATAAAAAAAGAACAACTACAGGGAAATTATTGGAATAGATGTTCCACGAAGTTGCCACCAGTTTTAATGTTTTGTGATTTGGTGAGTATTCAAAAGTTTATATAACCATGAAAAATAGTACAAAATTGTGTGATTGTAAAGACATTATGGATTGTTATTTCGTGTAATAATATAAGGTGTTCAAAAGTTGTATGGAACTTTAATTAATTTTGTGCAACAATTTACACAACAATTAGTAGATTTTGATTGTGCTAGAGGAAACCAAAAAGAGGAATTGAGTGACGACGTAGAAGAAATACCTGAAGGACAACAATACTCAAGAAATCGGAACAAAAAAGAGGTTCATCAAGGAAACAGAGAGAAGACAAAACATTATTGAGAAGACCAATGACAAGATGTAGAACACAAATGTTAATGCAACATTGACAAACCAAAAAAGAGAAGACAAAAAAAAAGAAAATAAAAAAATGCTCATGAAAAGTTAAAAGAAGTAACAACAAAGAAAGCTATGCACATAAGTGTTGGAAAGAAGGATCAAGACAAGTCAACAATATGCCAATTTGGAGGGAGTGGTAAACAATATGTAAAAATGCCCTTGGTATGACAAGTTGTGTTGGCTTTGCCAGCTATGAATATAGGAGGAACTGTGAATTGTGATGGTAAAAGAAACTAATGGAGCGGTACAATAAGATCTCCAAATGAGGTTATCTATTGATGGAAGAGAATACCTGCAAAAATACATACTGCAAGTAGGTAATTTGGTGATTTATATTTATGTTTTGGTTATTATGTTGAGGAAGAGGAACAATTTACCATGCCTAAAATGTCAAGGAGAAGGACCAACAAAATTACACACACAGTTGGCATTACTTGTGAAATCATCTTTAGATGAGGACACAAGAGACAAAGAGGCAAGAAAAAGACAATATGTAGAGTTCATGCAACTATCAAGGAAGGAGGTTTATGAGTATTGCATAATAAAAAAAAGATTAAGTGATAAAGCAGAGTAAGTTTTTTAATTCAAAAGTAGTATGTATGTAATGATCCAACCTTTTAAATTTAACAAAAAAAACTTTCCTAAAGAATATTTTATTTAAATAAGAATTTTGTTAGCAAATTTAATTTTTATTTTATTTTAAATCTTAGAAGAATTTGGGTTATTCTTGTAATTTTCCAGCTCCTTCTTGGACTTATCTTTGGCCTTTTCTTACTATTTTCCCCAAACTTTCTTTCATCAGATTATATCTTCGAGAGCAAGCAAGATAACAGAGCATTCGGGAAACCTCTTCTTCACCGACCTTAGATTACTCTCTTCTCGACGTTGTCGAACTTTTCCTCCTCACCTCCGGCTTGTTCTTCTCCTCATCATCGGTGTGGCTCTTTTTTCACTGTTTTGTTTTTGTTGTTCGCCTGTTGCTGTCTGCTAAGTTTCTGCTCTAATTTTCATATGTTGTGGCTGAAATAGGTGCATTGCTGCGTCCATCTTCAGCTTCTCTTTTCTTTCTCCTAATCAGTTGAAAGTTTAGGCATGTATGGTAATTGAGTTGTGCGTTATGGTTGAAGTTCTCATTCTTTTTCTTCCTCGCGCGTGTAACTGATCGGAGCTCTTCTCCTTCTCGTCTTCAGTTCCAATCACATGCTGGCTTTGGGTTGTCTATTGCAACTTTGTGGGAGGTGAGCGGATGTTCTTTCTTTTCCTCTTTCAGTGCAATGACAGCACATAATTAATCTCTTCCTCCTTCAGTCGATGGACGTCGTCTCTGTTCTTTATTCTCCCTGTGTTACTTGTAGCTAGAATTGAAGTATTGCACTTGGGTTAGAAGTTTGGCCTAGGATTAAATCTTTTCTGTCTTCTATATGTTAGATGAGAATTTCTTTGCTCTGTTGCTGCTGGACGATTGAATAAAAAGGGAATTCTTGGGTTTTCTTTTGCTGGTCTAGAGTAATATATAAATAGTTGATGATGTGGTTTGAATGTTAACGCCTTTAAGGTGTTGAGAAAATGTGTAGAAAAATCAAAGTAGAGGAAATAAGTATATTCAATGTTTAAAGGGTTTAGGACTTGTTTTAAGGATTTTAATTTATTCTTGATAAAGAAATGCGCTTAGGAAGCTTTAAAATGATTGATATGATTTATAATAATTTATAAATGAGTATGAGTCATAAGAGGATATGAGTATATATATTCAGGATTATCAAATGATTGGATTAACTTAAGTGTACTTGCAGTGTAATTGGATATAGTATTATTAACATTGACTAAATTAAATAGTGATATCCATTAAGTATTTGAAAAAATTATTTCTCAAATAATTGGGTTAACTCAAGTGTACATGTAGTGTAATTGGATATAGTATTTTTAGCATTGACTAGATTAAATAGTAATACTCATTAAATACTTGAAAAATTATTTGATAAATGATTTAAATTTTAACTTATTTGCTAGGATATTGAGGGCATCATTATAATAGAGGTCAACAAGTTAAAAGAAGCAAGTTTTAGAATGTTTGAAAAACACTCAAGTGAGTAGGTAGCGTTTCGAATGAATTTCAAGCAATTATTTATAAAAAAATTTCTTTACTTAGATTTTAATACTATTTCTTTATTTGTTATCTAAATGTTCTTGTCAATTCTATTTTTTTATAATTATTTTATTAATGATGATATCTTGATTTTTCTAATGATTTATGCTATTGATAAGTAATAATTAAAGTTGGTATACGACAAATGATGTTATTTTTCAAAAAAAAAATCAATTTTTTTAACTTTACGTTCAATATGCAAACCTTTAGTACAACATTTCGTGCATGGACGAAATGACAATGAATATGGGAATGGAATATGACAACCAAATCATATATTTTGAAAGTGAAAACTTTGAAATGGTTTTCAACTCTCTATGCATGCTTGATTTTAATTAGGGGACTGAATTTAGAACACTGGATGTTAACGGTAATTTTATTAGCCCTTGACATGTCATTGTTCACCTAACTAGCAGGGTACTTATAGGAAGTGCTGGCCTTATGCAAAGGCTAATGCACGTGGGTTGAAGGGATGGTATTTGTGAGCGCTGTACTCATGCTTGTTTTCGTGGGCTTCATGCCTGTGCTTGATTCATGGCTTTTGCTGCACTTGTTTCGTAGCCTTTGACCACACTTGATTGGTTATTTATCCTCGTAGACTATATGTCCACGCTTGTTACTTGTTTTGATAAAGCCCTCTTAAAATTTCAAGTTTAAATTTATCATTTTCATAAAATTTTCTGAAAATACTTTATCAAACTGTGTTTATTGTAAGTTTTTATATTTTGTGAACAGTGAAATTTTTAATACACATATGTGATTTCGTCAACCTTGTCTAAATTCATAATCACACTATTATAAAAAATCATTATTTATTTTAAATTTTTGATAATTCATTATTTCATTAAATTATTTGAAGTTAAATTTGTTATTTATTATCTTTATATATCTTCTTTATTAAAATTTGGATTAGGACACTACTCACCGATAAATTTTTTGTCTCAGATATTGTAGCTAACCTTGTGCTTCTAACTGACCATTGAGGGTCATTCTTGCTTTTTGGATAAAGGAAGTACATGGTGATTACTCTTTTCGGTGAAATCTTATATTGTATTTTGCAAATTATAAGTTAGTGCTCCATGTATCCCATAGTTGGATCCTAGTTTTATTTTGTTATTGTGAAAGTTTCTGGAATGGAGCTAGTCTCCTTGCTAGTTTAATTGATAGGTTTTGTAGTTTTGTAGAAATTTCAGGAGGTTCAAATTATAGGGGAGACTGTTGAAATTTCTACAAAAACTTTAAAAACTTTAAGAACTTTATTGTTATATATAACTTGCATATATTGCCAATTTAACTTAATTTCTAGATAATCAAAGCTTATGGAATGTGAGTCCACATTATATTCCATACCGATCATACCTTTAGTATTGGGGTGTGATGAGGTAAGAAGGCATTAAATGTAACATCTATTAACTGGTATGTAGGACTATTATTGAGGTTGATGGTTACTACATGATAAGGGGCGAAAGTCAAAGTCTTAGACTGAGAAAATCAATAAATGGCAAAATAGGTTCTTGTTTTGTACATATTTTCTTGAATTATAATCTATTCAAACGCATACAACTAATTATGTTTTATTTTGTGCAGGTGATAACTTTAGTAGGTAAATTGTTAATGGAGGAGTAGAAAGTGAAACACAAATATGCAGAACGACATATTGTGGACCCTAATTTTTTAGTACGAAATAATTCAATGTTTTTTGTAGTGAGTGATTGTGTATTTTGTCGATTCAATAGTGAGATCATAAATTGTATGTTTTATTTCAATAATGGATTTTCTAACTAATTGTTCTCCATATCTGTTGTAGTTGGAATCTAATTTGGAGAACCTAATGCCTAGATACGTGAGATATAATCTAGTAGAATGTGAATTGATGTTTGCGCCTATAAATTTAAATAATCATTGGTCATGCTATGTGTTAAAACAAAAAATAGGTAAAATGTTTGTGTTGGATTCATTGAATATGGTGGATAGCCCTAATGTGAGTAATAAAAGACAAAGAAAAAAGTCAGCGTATGAAAGTGAAGGAGACCAAATCAAGAACCCATGATGGTTCAAGTGATGGTATGACTTCTATCTATTTCCATTGTATTGTAAATAAGATTTGTTGTTATTACTTACATTGTTTATTTAACTTGCTTGAATGATAAATTTATTGCGCTTTTGAAGAAATTAAAAGGACAGACATATAGTCAGTTAAGGGACTTGAAAGTCAAAATTGTGAAGATGGTTACCTAACTCAATATGTAAGTTGGAATATGCTAATTGGTTATTTAACCTGGTAAAAGGTTTTTTGACATAATGTTAACAAAATCTGCACAGATTTTCTTATGAATTATATGTTGTCTATTGTTTAAGACACTAGGAGAATGACGCTAAAGAAGAATGAGACGGACTAACAATACTTACATTCACCAATGTAAGTTATTTGTCAAATTTTAAAGCTTAAGTCATATGGTAAATGCTGAATACAAAATAACTATCTTTTAGAGGAGTACTAGCTTTGATGGCTTTTTTTTTTGTAACAGGAGCAATTGTTTGACATGCGTTTGGACATTATAAATTGGCTGAGTATGCACCTACTCAACAAAGCTTCTGGTAGGCTCATGACTTCTATTGTAGATACCATAAAACACAGTGACCGAAAATGCATAACCAGTGAAGAAGTTGAATTGTAGACAATGTACTCAATCCTTTTTTTTTTTTCTCTCTTTCTAGGAATGTTGTGTAGAGATTGGCAACTATTTGTACATGGTACATAGAGATTGTAGCTTGTGGCAACAATATGATCATTGATGAATTTTTTTCTTGGGAATGGTGTACTATTATGTTTAATAGTAATGAAAATGTTAAATAGTCAATTGTTATGTTAAACTAACTTTATTTTAACCTAAATTTATGAATGAGTATTCTAACCCATAAAATCTCTACATTTCCTTTACATTGAAACTTGACATGATTTGCTAGATATTAATGAAATAAGTAATGAATATAGCCACACAATAGTACAAATACTTGGCCGTGAAACTACCTGTGCAATATACGGGTACCAAAAACTAGTTAAATACAAAGGTAATTTGTATTAATCCATGAGTTATAACAATATAATGTGCCTTATTTTTCAAACTCTTATGCATTACAAGTAATCTCCTCTAATCATTTATTATAATCATGAACTATTGTCATTGTCTAATTATTACGTGCCACGAAACGATCATGGAAGTAAAGGACCATTTTGTCCCTTGGAGGTAAAGTGTCCTTGACAATTGGGTGATTAAGGAAATTGCTCATCCATAAGGCCAAGTTTGGACATTTGAAAGGATCCAATATTTGCATATTTCCAACTTGTTCCCATACTGGAAGCCAATAAGACATCCATCCAAACGCAATGTCAAGGTACCCAATATTTTCGCCTCCGAAGAATTTCTTTCCCTTTATTAGTTCTTCGATCTTCTCCATGTCTTCCCGTACTAATTCTGCTGCATTTTCTTTGTTATCCGCATCAGAACACATGGCCCGAAATGCACCGTACAAAATCTGTCATATTGAATTGAATAATTAAAAAACGTTTAATTTAATTTGGTTCATATAGCTTACAAAGTCTGTAATTTGGTCCCATGATTGTTGGATCCTTAATTTGTTCTAAGGTTAAAGGACAATTTTACTTTTAAATTATAAATTAAGAAATGTCTGAGATTCTAAACTCATTTTTAATATAATATTTTTATTTAATTTTTAAAAAGGTGCAATTTCACTCTTATCCTTAAGAAAAACTAATTTTGACAATTAATTAACTAAAAAATTATAAAAAAGAGCTCAAAAATGCAAAAAAGATTCTAAAAAAATTACAAAAAATGATCGAAAAATTACAAAAAAAAAAGATCAAGAAAAATTCCTTAGTCTTTTGCTGTAATTTTTGCGATTATTTTTTATAATTTTTTTTATAAACAAGTTAAAAATTAATAACTATAGAGACAATGTTGCACTGTTTTAAAAAATAAAAGATAAATGTTATATGAAAAATAAATTTAAGATCTCAAATATTATTGAATAATTTGCCATTCAACCTTTTGTTTTATTACTCATAAGACTGTTGATATAGCTTCTCAGGGGTTGGCGTGCATGTCTATACATGTGTGTCATTTCCAATTACGGGTGGATGTTTTTTTCAAATGGTGAAAATATTCGTGTACATGGAAAGCTTGGGCCTGATGATTCGGCCTAGGAAGCCTATTTCATAATAGCTCTGTGATGTTTCAAGCTATAAATACACAATAACTTACATGTCATCATGACTTCTAAGTTAAGTAACATAAGCACCAAAGAATATCAAAAACTAAACCGAATATTAAATCAGACAAGACAATAATTTACAATTCATTAATCAGACCATAATTAAATAGTGGTCAGACTGGTCACTACTATATTAATATATTTTTTAATTTATAAATTATAATATTTAATATTTCTGTCTCTTAGTCTTTCCCTGTTATAAAAAAATTATATATTATAATACTATAAAATTTTGAAATAGATTCTTTTAAAAGAAATATTGAATATATGACAATAGTGAACAAATGTTGATGAATGCCTGATTAGGATGATAATATCATTCATCAATGATGCTTTCTAATGCTTTCTATTTAGAAATCAAGAAATATAAATGAAATTCTATAAATGAAAATTCAATTTAAAAAAGAAACTCACCATAGTCTTTAGTCTTTATAATTGTTTAAAATTTATTTGATTATGGTAGATTTTTTTTGGAAGCATATTAAAGATAAATTAGAAAGGCCACAGTTTTTTTTAAAAAAATACAGATAAATAATATGAAGTAGAAAGATTTAAAAAAACAAATTTATGTTAACATATCTAGATAAAAAGCTTTAGGTCATTGGCTAGTTATTCTAGTGACAAATGATCTCTCTTACTTAGAAGAGATCTCAAATTAAAACTTAACCTTAGACATGTTTCGGTGCATGCATCGTTTAGATTAGGATTAAATTTTTTAAAAAAAATAAAAAAAATTGAGTTGCGTTGAATCCATATCTCTTCTAAGTAAGAAAACGGGCATTGCTCCTAATTGTTGAGTTGAATTTAAAAATATATTGCATACCTTTTCTTCAGCAAATTTAGCCCAAAAGCGAGCAAGAGATCTGTGATGAGGATGCTGAGGCAACAATGGATTCGGGGTGATCCAAGTCTCATCAATGTATTCGAGGATGATGAGTGAGTCAGAGACTGGTCTAAGACGATGAATCAGAACAGGAACTTTCTTATGAAGAGGATTCATTTGCAGAAGAAGGTTGCTTTTGTTGAAGATGTCTTCTTCAGCATACTCATAATCAACGCCCTTCAGTCTCAGAGCCCACACAACTCTGCAACAAACTGGACTCAAATAAAAGCTCAATACCTTCACCTGATCTTCTTCACCTCTCATGGCGTTCAACTAGTTTTCCTCTCAACTTGTTTTAACCTGATCTCTTCTCGATCGACCAGTATTCAATCACACACACGCACACGCACACACACGCACACACTTTAAACATTTCAAAAGTTGAGTTGAAAAGATGGCCAGAATGATAAAACTTTATTATTGTTTTTTCCAGTTCCGTAGCCGAATTGAACACAATAACCAGGGTCCAGCTTCGGCGCTCATAACCAAGACGGGCGGCATACTGTTTATTGCCTCTGTAGATGGACCTGAACCATTTAAATTTAATTTGGAGGTTCTATGTTTAAACTTTTAAAAATATATATATATATATATTAAAATAAAAAATTTATATAAATTATAAATTTTTTTAATATAATCTACTTTATAACAAATCAAAAGTCCATATTTAATTTAAATAATTCAAATTTAATATTAATTTTTTTAATTTTTATAAGTTGACTATCTAAATTTACTATGAAGGATTCAAATTTAAATATACTTTATAACAAATCCATAGTTCATATTGTGTGAAACTCAAGTCCAAGTGAATGTTAATAGTAGATAAATCACTTTTCTATCTTCTTTCTATAATAAATACTTCATTTGTTTAAAAATATAAAGTATTTTTGATGAGAAGTTAGATGTTTAAAAATATAGGATATTTTTAATTTTTCAAGAAGTAATCATTACATTTTTTTAGATATACCTTTATTAAATAAATTACTTTATATTTATTTTAGAGTGAAACTCCCTATTAAATAGAGGTAAACATAGAAACATAGGGTTAATTTGAAAACAAATAACTTTTTTATTAGGAGATAAGATTAGATTAAAAATGCCTTACATTTTTTAACGGAAGGATTAATATTTTTATGTATGAGTATATTTATTATTACATATACTTAAATTGACATAAATATTATAAATAATAAATATTTTATAGTGCATGTCAACTCTACTGCTTCAAGTCCCTATTGTTGAAGTATTATTTTTTCTTAATACTGTGAAACAGACTGAAATATACACAAAATGGATGCATGAGAGTTACAGAAATAAAGAAGAAATGTTGTTCCGTTTACACCTTCATTAAGCCAAAAAAACGTCTGGCATTTACGTTTGTAATGTCTTATCTGCTTGCCTGTTTCATTCAAAGTCCTAACACTATAAATAAGACTAGCTTTACTGTAAGAGTCAATTCAGACTGAAAATAAAAATTAGAGTTTGCTCTTTCATTTGGTTTCTATGCCATTTTGGTATTAGAGCTAGTCTAGAGAGCGAAAGAGTGAGGTAGAGTTGAGGAAATATACTAAAGAAGAGAGAAGTTCAGAAGAGGAGTCCCAGATTTGCTCAAACCCTGCATTCCAAGCATTTTATCTAGAAACTAATGTCACCATCACCGGAAGTGTCTTCACGCACTTGCATATGTCGTTGCCTGAAGCCCACGCGCCATCGCCGTCTCTCCACGCGCTGCACACTCTAGCTGAAGGTTAAAGACAATGACATCATCCACCATGTCAATTCTCTGACCAGTCAACAAAAGCTCAACCTAATTAGATACTAACACGTGTCATCACGTCATATCACCCTACCCAATCAGCCATATTTCTTGAAATTACATTTTTACCTAAATCTTTTTATATTTCCATATTGACCCCTTAACTTTTTGAAATATCATATTGACCCTAAAAGTTTTTGAAGTTCCATTTTGACCCCAAATCTATCCTGAAATTACACTTTTGCCCTTAATTTTACCTAAATTTCATGTTAACCCCTATATTTTCTATAAATTACACTTTGACCCCCTTATACTTTCAGAATCTCCATTTTTACCCTAAACTTTCCAAAATTCCCATTTTGCCCTATACTTTTCAAAATTTCCATTCTACCCCTATATCCTTTCAACACTTTCACTTTGCACCTTAATCTTTCCAATATCCCTAACCTTGACACATATCGAAGTGCCTCCAAGACAGAGTCATGTGCAAGAGGTTAAGATAGAAGAGATGAGACGTAGGATACGAGAGTTGGAAGCAACTATAGAAATACAACGAACTCTGTTACACAATAACAGAGAAAACCTAGAAGGAGATTCGGGAAGCAGTAGTTCGTCATCCACTGAAAACCGTCGCTGTCCACGACAACAACAATTTCGTCCTAATTACAACAAGGTAGACATTCCTGAATTCGAGGGAAGACTTAAGCTAGACGAGTTTGTAGACTGGCTTCAAACTATTGAATGAGTATTTGAATACAAGGAGATTCTAGATGTGCAGAAAGTGAAGATTGTCGCCCTCAAACTCAAAAAACATGCTTCCATTTAGTGGGAAAACCTTAGACGAAAGCAAGAACATGAGGGAAAACGTAAGATTGAGACCTGGGAGAAAATGAGACGGTAGCTCATCAGGAAATTTTTTCCAGATCATTACCACCAAGATAACTTTATCCAGCCGTAAAATCTTCAACAGATGTCTTTATCTATAAAAGAATATACTAGAGATTTTGAACAACTCATGATGAAGTGTGACATTTAAGAGAAGGAAGAGCAAACAATAGCCTGATACCTTGCATACTTAAACACAGATATCAGTTGTCCAATCCAGCTTCAGCAATATTGGACCTTAGATGATGCCATCCGTCTTGCAATGCGTGTTGACAAGCGGACGCCCAAAAGATCTTCTTTCTAGCCTTCTTCCTCGAAGGGTTATCTAGAAGCCCGTAAAGCGAAATTTTAACAGACCAACTCCTTAAGCAAGTTGCAATCTAGCGCTATGCACAAACCATCACCTAATGCTGCCAAGGAATCTGGCTTTAAAGCAATCAATTGCTTTAAATGCCAAGGATTTAGCCATATTACTGCAGATTGTCTTACTCGGAAGGTTATCACCATTAGAGAAGGATAAGAATATGAAGAACTTGAAGAAGATGAAAAGGGGACTGAGTTTTATGGCACTGATTTGGTATATGACAAAGAGGTCACGCTTGTTGATTAAGGAGAAGAATTGGTGCTTAGATGAAGTCTACATACAACTGTAGTCAAAGAACCTTAGCTACAACGTAGCATTTTTCACACTCATTACACAGCCCAAAGAAAAGTTTGTAATGTCATCATTGACAGTGGAAGCTGCGAAAACTTCGTATCTAACTACATGATGGAGAAATTAAAATTGCTAACACAAGATCATTCGTAACCTTACAAGTTTCATTGGCTCAACAAGGGGAATGAAGTAAAAGTTTTTAAACAATATCTTGTGACCTTTTCTATTAGGAACCGATATTGTGACAAAGTTTTATGTGATGTTGTTCCTATGGATGCATGCTACCTTCTCTTGGGGAGGCCATAGCAATATGACCAACATGTTATGCACAACAAGCGACCAAGCACCTATTCTTTTACGAAAGATAGTGTCAAGTTCATACTAATGCCTCTATTGCCCAGCGAGATTAGCCAATCTTCAAGGGAATTTTGCACCTCTAAGCCATTGGTGTCGTTGATGACTAAGGAGGAATTTAAGGTGATGAAGTCTGAAGCCCAAATGATGAGCTTTATTTTGGTGCTTGAGGTAAATGACAAGTCCACCAATCCATCAGGAGTCAGACCGTTATTGTCAGAATTTCCAGATGTAATATCTGATAAGATACCACCAGGGTTGCCTCCCATGTGAGACATGCATGCCATTGACTTTATGCCAGGAGCAATCATTCCTAACAAGCTTGCTTGTAGGATGAGTCCCCAAGAACATGCCAAAGTCCAACGGTAAGTTGAAGAGTTATTAAAGAAAGGGTTGATTTGAGAAAGTATTAGCCCTTGTGCTGTACCTATTCTTCTAGTACCTAAGAAGGATGGTAGTTGGAGAATGTGCATTGACTACTGAGTCGTCAACAAGATCACTATTAAGTATTAATTTTCGATACCTGGGCTCGATGATATGCTAGACCAGTTGCATGGTGCCACTATGTTCTCCAAAATTGACTTTCAAAGTAGGTACCACCAAATCAAAATTCAGCTAGGAGATAAGTGGAAGACCACTTTTAAGACCCAAGATGACTTGTATGAGTAGAATGTGATGCCTTTTGAGTTAACAAATGCCCCTAACACATTTATGCATCTAATAAATCAGGTATTAAGACCCTTCATTGAAAAATTTGTTGTTGTGTACTTTGACAATATTCTTATTTATAGTAAGAGTCAAGAAGAACATTTAGATCACTTGCGGCAAGATTTGCAAGCCTTGTATGAATAGAAGCTTTATGCAAATCTCAAGAAGTGCACCTTTCTCACCAATGAAGTTGTGTTTTTGGGTTACATCATTATCGCAGATGGCGTTCGAGTTAATCCAAGTAAAGTTACAACCATTGACAACTGGCCAATTCCAAAATCTATCTAGGAGGTTTGAAGCTTCCACGGATTAGCTTTTTTCCATAGGAGGTTCATCCGTAATTTTAGTTCTATTGCTGCACCACTTACAAGTTGCACTTAAGGAGAGAAATTTTAGTAGATAAAGCAAGCTCAACAAAGCTTTAAAGAGCTTAAGAAAAAGTTGACTAAAGCTCCAGTCCTAGCTCTTCCTAATTTTGACCAAGCGTTAGAAGTTAGCTGTAATGTTTCTAATACCGGCATTGGTGCTGTCTTAAACCAGGAGGGCCATCCTATTGCCTTTTTCAATAAGAAGCTCAATGATGCTAAGCTTAGGTCTTCTACCTATGACAAAGAATTTTATGCCATTGTTCGAGCTTTCCAATATTGGAGTCATTATCTCCTGAATAAAGAGTTCATACTCTTTTCTAATCATGAGGCTCTAAAGTATTTGAATTCCCAGCAAAAGATCAACTGCATGTATGCCTGTTGGAGTGAACGCTTATAGTCTTATCCATTTCTTATCAAACATAAGGCTAGAACTTTAAACTCCGTAGCTGATGCTCTTAGTCATTGATATGTGTTGCTTACAACACTGCAAACCAAAGTTTTTGGTTTATCAAAGAGTTGTATTAGGACGATCCTAATTTTTGAGGAGTATGGGGAGCATCTGCAAATCAACCTTTCCACCAATTCTACAAACATGATGGGTTTTTGTTCCGAGGCAAAACTCTATGATTCCACAAAGT